TTCGAGGCAGCCTGGTCTCCAGAGCGAGTGCCAGGATAGGCTCCAAAGCTACACAGAGAAACCTTGTCTCGAAAAACAAAAAAAAAAAATAAATAAATAAAAAATAAAAAATAAATTACTGACTGAAAAAAATGTCTGGATATCTGGATTTCTGGTTTTGTTTACATTTATTGGAAAATACAAATATCTCGGGCTAAGTTTCTTAATGATACCAGCAGCCAGATCAGGGCACCTTCCATTTTTGTTCACAGAGGAAACATTCTCTTCAGTTTTGTCACCTGACTAGCAGACCCTTTGATCATGCGTTTGAGTTTGGTACTCTTGCTCCATGAAGAAATCAAGACACATTTATAAATGAAAACAAGACTGTGAATATTCTCCAACATCTTTAAGCTTCATGTTATTTTAAACATTATGTGTGATAATATATAAAAATCATTTTAGGAAACTATGTAAATTCCCACGGGTCCCTCTCACAGGGTATTGCCAGGACCTATTATCTTTATGTCTCAGCATCTGAAGACAAGACTGTAAAGACATTTCAGACTGTCTTTTAAAAATCCAATTTTACTTCCTTTGGGACATTAAGTGCTGCTGGTTTCAGATGGCAGAATTAGTAAGAAAGAAAGTTAATTTTCTGAAGTTTTTTTTTTTGGGGGGGGGTGAGGTAAGAACTTACCAGTAATGGTTCTAACTTCTGGTTTTTTTGGTTCTGGTCTCCTTAGTTCTCTAGGCAACAAACTGTTCTGATTATGCCATTTTTTCAGACATTGTGGCTCATGGATGCTAATAGATTTGGTCCCATATTCACGGCCACAGATGTAACAAACAATTGTTGGTGGACGCCTTATCATTGTCGGCTGAAAATAATATAAACCCATTAGATAAAGGATAGGTGTGGACATTTTATTTGAAAATTAATATTTTTAAATCCAGTTAGCAGGGCTAGAGAGATAGCTTAGTGATTAAGACTACTTGGTGCTCTTGCAGAGGAGCTTAATTCAGTTTCCAGAAAGTCACCACAGCCTATAACTCCAGTGGATCCAACAGCTCCTGGTCCACAGGCATCTGAAGGCATGTACACAGGCACAGACAGACAGACAGACACACAGACACACAGACAGACAGACACAAGCACACACACACACACACACACACACACACACACACACAAAATAGAATTCTGACCATTCTGGTGAATTTAACTTCTTTAACAATAAAGAGCATGAGTGGATATGAGCTTAGAAGGGAATAAAAAAGAGCCATCCAGAATTCTTCATATTCTGTTGTCGAAATGTATTTTCATTCTAAGGTTGATTTTCTAACCCTTACATCTGAGTTATAATGCTGGGAGATGCAGCAGGCAGTGAGGCTAGAATTCTCTCAGTAACATCAAGACTTAATGTGCCAACATAACTGAGAATGAAAGTGTCATAGGAGGGCAGGTGACTTGGCCCTGTCCATTCTCTCACATCAGTGTCTTTCTACTGCAAGTACCTTCACTTCTGTTTCTGAGTCTGGAGTAAAATCCACTACAGGCAAAACCACTGATCAAGTTGGTAGATACATACCCAACTTCTTCACAGTGAGTTTTATTGACAACTTGATTGGATTTGGAATCACCCAGGAGATACAGCTCTAAGTATGTTTTTTGAGGGAGTTTCCACCGAGGAGTGAAGTTTACTTTAAATGTGGGTTGTATCTGGCATCCCATATGACACCATAAGGATTCTCATAGTGGGAGGTGAGAGGAATCAATGAGGACAAGGGTTTTCCACCTGAGTTAGATCCCCAGAACCCATGCATTGAAAGGAGCGGATCAATTCCTTCAAGCTGTCCTCTGACCCACCTATGCACATTGTCACACACACACACACACACACACACACACACACACACACACACACACACAAATAAATGCTAAATAAGTGAGTAGATAAATCTGTAGATGATGGGGCATAGAGCTGCAGTGATTGGTGTTTGCCCTGCTTGTTTTAGTGCTTCTTTAGCTCAGGCTCCACTTGTTAATCCAGTTTTTTTCTTTTGGAATGGGAATGCATATTCTGTCACTGTATATTAGAAATTTGTGGCTTTTTTATTTTACAATGACTCACAAGTAAGAGATTATTGAGTCTCTGATAGACTTTGAACTTGGCTTTTGAATGGAGTTGAGAGTGCTATGACTATTTTTTTTATTCATTTTACATACCAACCACAGTTCCCCCTGCTTCCCCTCCTCCCTCTCTCCCCCACCTTTCCCCAACTCATCCCATCCACTACTCAGAAAGGGTGAGGCCTCCCATGAAGAATCAACCAAGTCTGTCATCTTCAATTGAGGCAGAACAAAGGCCCCACCCATGAAGGTTCAGCAAGTCATCCCACCATAAGGGATGGGCTTCAAAAAGCCAGTTCATGAAAGTGCTGTTACTCTTTATGGACTCTTTATTATAGGAAAAGTACCTTTGAGGTCAGGGGTAGAACGGTATAGCTTGAAAGTACAGGTTGACAAAGGGTGATGTGGTGGTTGATCTTCATTGTCAACTTTACTAGATTTGGAATCACCTAGGAGATACACCCCTGGGTGTGTCAATAAAGAAGTTTCCTGCTTTTGCTGTGGTGAATGTACCTGTAAATCTTAGTCAGAATCAACCCGCCATTAAATTGCTTCTTGTCAGGTATCTGATCACAACAATTGGAAGAGTAGCTAATACAGATGAGAGTTGGTGGATAAATACTTCACTAAGGCTGTATTAGTGGAAAACTGTGTATACAGTTTTCCAGAAGTCCTTAGTAAAATTGTGCCATATCTATTGCATAATATACAGGCTTCCCTCTTTTCAATTTATTTCCTTTCCTGGATTCTCCACAGATTAAAAAAAAAAATGAGGCCAGAAAATAATGACCTGGCATTTTTAAAAATAATAATAGAAAACAAAACCAATTATCCTACTACAAGACAATGCCAATTCAGAATTTCAGTCCAGTAAAAATAGTCTTCAAAACTTAAGATGAAATAAAGGTGTCTTTGGCCATGGGAACAGTTAAAGAATTCATTACTGATAGACTTTTGAGTCAAAAATTCTAAGAGAAGTTTTAAATGACAAAAGGAAATAACAGCAAATAATCTAGTTCTGTAAGAAACAATGGGGGAATACTATAAAACACAAATATGTCAATAACATAAGCTTTGAAATATTCATATCTTTGCCATATACAGAATATTAAGTCTCTTAGATAATGGGGTATTTGAGGCAAAAATATCCAAGACAAAGTTTATTGTATATATGTATAAAACAAAGTCTTCAAGAACACAGCAAAGCTCAAAATGAGATAATTATTAATTTAATTATATTTTTCTTGTAATAGTTTTTGAATATGAATATTATGAGTCAAAGGTGTTTACTTTAACATATATAATAGGCATTAGTGCATACAGATATACAAGGGGAGAAACTAAAAATCAATAGGTAAATGGCCAACCAAATCCCAAATATGATAAATTAACTCATCTCCAAAGAAGGAAGTGTAATAAAAGAGAAATGAAAATATCAACTTACCAAAACCTGGTAAGTAATAGCATTAAAACAGGAAGACAGGTAGAAATAAGGTCAAATATGTCAATAATTGGCCAGGAGCAGGACTCTTACTACTGCTTGCCCTGCTGCTTCTTGCAGTATACCTCAATAAGCTTGTTTTTTTTTTTTCCCCAAAAAGAAATCAGTAATTGCAGTAAATTTAAATAGACTAAACAACACAATTAAAAGACATGTTGCTGGGTACAGTGGCTTATACCCAAACTTAGTTGATATGATGCTGAAGTAGGAGGATTGCTATGAGTTCAAGGCCAGCCCAAGACATGTGAGTTCCAGTCCAGCCTGGGCTAAAGAGCTAGACTCTGTCTCAAAAGTCAGAAGAACAAAAATCAAAAATAATAAAAGTAAAAGAGAACACAATGTTCAAGCCAGATAAAAAGATGAAATCCAACTTCATGTTTTTATTATGAGAAACACATTTTATGAACACAAACATTCAAATAGCTTTCAAGGGAAAGAATGGGGGGAAATTCAGAGAAAGCTGATGTGTCTTATGTTCAGCAGAAGAAGCTTGAGTCAGATAGGTAAGAAACTGCGGGGCCATGGAGAGCCAGGAAAGCTGTGCTGGGATTTTACTGTGCTCGGGGTCATTCAGCAGGGACTAAACCATAATTGTGCATCAGGGGGATATTAGCATGGTGGTTTGTGGCTACCAGGCCAATATGACTATGAGATCCAACAAGTGACTGCTCTGCATATGAGGGAATAATGGGACCAGAAATGGCAATATTTTATTCTACAAGATGACAGCCAGGGACAGAAAGGGAGAAATGAGAAAAAGCAAACTTAAGAAAGAGGAAAACATGGATTGTGTTCTATTCCCGAGGATATTGACATATTCATAGAATTTAGCCTCAGAAAATCCAGCCAAAACAGGAAATGTAGGCCTGCAATTCAGCATTAATAGTCTTTGGAACGATTCATGGAGGAAAGGATATTTTAAATAGGAAAATTCCCGATAAAGGGATTATAGAGAGTATGGAGAAGAAGTACAAGTAAAAGGCCCATAATAGGAATATTGAAAACTGGAAACTATAGGTAAAAATAAATAGAGAGAAAGGTTCAAATTTTCAGTTTGGGAAATGAGGCATACAGAGAAAAGCTCCATCCAGAATTTTGGAAATACTCCTTCCTGACTTCCAGCAAGGTGGAGTCATCACTCTGTAAAATGTTTAAAAAGAAACAGAAGGCAAGAAAAAGATGTCAGATTCACTACTAGGTCATATGTCAGTGATGGGTGTGTGTTCATCCCTGCTGGTGCAGGACAGGTAAAGAAAAGACTAAACAGTTTCGATTCCTGTATTAGCTAACCACATAAACCTCAATTGTTATATATTCAAAATTGTTGCTAGGAAAACGGGAGTTCTTTCAAAAACCTGAAGAACAGAAATAAGAGCTGGGTAGAGTCCAGAAAAGCTTGTTTATATGACAGGATTATACAACAGGGTCTTCCTCCACAGGCAGAGAAATGGGATCAAGCATGGATTGAAGACATTGAGCTGAGAGAAAAAGGAAGAAAGAAGAAATAGATGAAAGTTACATAAAGGTGGTCGAAGGAAAGTCAGGGTTGACTTTCCTACTCACTAAGACAAGCTTTGTCTCCTAGGTAACATGATCTTCAGGGGATGAAGAGATTCAGATTCTGGGAAATCAAGTATTAAAATGATAGGACTGGGTACTTTGGGAATGTGACAGCAATTCAGTTAGGAAAACTACTCACCAATTGAAGCAAAAATGACCTAATTAGAGTTGCAAGAGATACCAGCAGCATTAAAGGTCCCCTTTCTTATATGTTTTTTAGTGGGACTGGAAGGCATGAAGACAAATTAAGTGGGTGGTATTTTATCCTTTCGGGAAATAAAACATAGTAAAATATGTATATTTTATAATCATCCTGCCTTTTACCACAGCTATTGGTCAGTCTCCCGAAATAAAGAAAATACAAAACAAGATCACAATAAAAAGCAAAACAAAAAATAAACCACCATTGCAATTTCTGATTACCAGAAGCAAAATAGATCCTAGAAGACTAAACAGAAAATTAAGAAGCCAAGTAAAACTGAAACTAGAGTGCCTTCCTGAAATGTGTATTTTATTTGAGGTATAGTATTTTTATTGAGTACTAAACGATACCAACAAAGTGTGTTTATCAGAATAACCAGGTACTTGTTTGTCATGTTTTTATGCATGCAGAGTCATATAGCCCATCAAAAGTGACTTGAGAAGCAGGGAATTCAAGACATACAGAGAGAGTATAAAGC